CTATAACTCTGTGTAGTATAATTTGAGATAGAGGATGGTGATACCACAGCATTTTTTTTTTTTAAATTCAGGATTGTTTTAGCTATCCTGTTTTTTTTTTTGTTTTTTTTTTTTTTTTTGTGTGTGTATTTCCATATGAAGCTGAAAATTGTTCTTTCAATTTCTGTGGAGAACTGTGCTGGAGTTTTGATGGGGATTGCATAAATCTTCCGATTGCTTTGGCAGGATGGCCATTTTCACTATATAATCTTACCAATCCATGAGCATGGGAGGTCTTACATCTTCTGATCACTCCTGCAATTTCTTTCCTCAATGTCTTGTTTTTATTATACAAGACTTTTACTTACTGGGCTAGAGATACACCAAGTTATTCTGTTTTATTTGTTTTGTTTTGAGGCTATTGTTAAAGGTGTTGTTTCTCTGATTTTTTTCCTCAGGCTGTTTGTCGTTTGTGTATTGGAGGGCTACTGATGTATGTGTGTTAATTCTGTATCCTGCTACTTAGCTGAAAGCACTTATCAGGTGTAGAAGTTTCCTGGGGGAGTAATTAGGATCTCTTATGTATACAATCCTATCATCTACAAGTAGCGATACTTTGATCTCTTCCTTTCCTATTTGATCTCCTTATGTGTCTTATTGCTCTAGCTAAGACTTCAAGTACTATAGTGAATGGTAAGTGGACATTTTGTCTTGTTCCTGATTTTAATGAATATGGTTTGAGTTTTTCTCTGTTTAGTTTGGTGTTGGCTGTGGGCTTGCTATATGGTTACCTATATTATGTTCAGGTATGTCCCTTGTATCCCTAATCTCTCTCGGACTTTTATCATGAAGGGATATTGGATTTTGTATAAGGCCTTTTCTGTATCTAATGAAATGATGATGTGGTTTTTGTCTTTCAGTTCACTTAGTGGTATATAACACTTATCAATTTTCACATGTCCAACCACCCCTGCATCTCTGGAATGAAGCCTATTTGATCATGGTGGATAATCTTTTTGATGTGTTCTTGTCTTTGGTTTGCAAGTATTTGATTGAGAAAATTTGAATGTAGTTCATGAGGGAAATTGGTCAGTAATTTTCTCTCTTTGTTGGTTCTTTGTATGGTTTAGGTATCAGGTTAATTATGGCCTCATAAAAAGAAGTGACAATGTCTCTTCTGTTTCTATTTTGCAGAATAATTCAAGGAGTATTGGCATAATTCTTTGAAGGTCTGGTAGAATTCTGCACTGAATCTTCCTGGCCTGGGATTTTGTTGTTGTTGTTGTTGGGAGACTTTAAATCACTGCTTCCATTTCACTAGGGGTTATGGGTCTGTTGAAATTGTTTAATTGATCTTGATTTGACATTGGTAGGTGGTATATGTAAAGAAATTTATTTATTTCTTTTAGGTTTACAAGTTTGATGAACTATAACTTTTTGAAGTATATCCTTATGATTCTCTGATTTCCTCAGTCTATTTGTCTATTTGTGATGTTCCCTTTTTATCTCTAATTTTATTAGTATGGATTTCATCTCTCCATCTTTTGGTTTATTTGGCTAGGGTTTATTAATCTTACTGATTTTCTCAAAGAACCAACTCTTTATTTAATTGATTCTTTGTGTTTTTGTTTTTGTTTTTTATTTTATTAACCGTAAACTTGAGTTTGATTATATATTTTTAAATAATTTATTTATTTTTATTTCATGTGCATTTGTGTTTTGCATCATTTATGTCTGTATGAAGGTATCAGATACCCTGGAACTGGAGTCACAGGCATTTATGAGCTGCCATGTAGGTGCTTGGAATAGAACCTCTATCCTATGGAAAAGCAGACAGTGCTTTTAATGACTGAGCCAGATCTTCAGCTCTGAGTTTAATTATTTCTTGCCATTTCATCCTTTTGAGTGTTAGCTATTTTTGTTCTAGACTATTCAGGTGTGTCGTGAAGTAGCTAATATAAGACCTCTCCATTTTTTTTTAAAATGTAGGCACTTTAAGTTATGAACTTGCCTCTTAGAACTGCCTTTATTGTGTTCCACAGTTTGAGTATGTTATGTTTTCATATTCATTTAGTTATAAAAGTTTTAAAATGCCTTCTTGATTTCTGTCTTGACCCATTTTTTATTAATCAGTGAGCTGTTTTGTTTCCATGAGTTTGTACACTTTCTGTTGTTGTTGATATCCATCTTTAATCCATAATGATCAGAGAGGATGCAGGGTGTTACTTCAATTTTCTTTTATCTGTTGACACTTTCTTTGTATCCAAGTATGTGGTCAGTTTTGGAGAAAGTTCCATGAGGTGCTGAGAAGAAGGTATAATCTTTTGCATTTGGATGAAATGTTTTACAAATATTTTCTAGGTCCTTCTGATTTATGATGTTATTTAACTCCAGTATTAGTTTTTGTCTGGATAACAGTTCTATTGGTAGAGTGGTTTTTGATGTCATCCACTATTAGTGTATGGAGGTCAATATGGGATTTTGGCTACAGATGTATTTCTTTTTCGAACTTGGGTGCCCTCATATTTGCTAAATAAATGTAGAGAATTGCAATGTCCACCCGCTGGATTTTTCTTTGAGGAGTATGTAGTGTCCTTTAGTTTTGGTTTGAATTCTATTTTTTCAGATATTAAGAGGGCTACACCAGTTTGCTTCTTGGGTCCATTTGCTTGGAATATCTTTTCCTATCCTTTTAATGAGGTGATGTCTATCTTTGATGGTAAGGTAGTGTTTCTTGGATTCTGTAGAAAAAGAGATTCTATCTTCTAACCCAATCTGATAATCTGTGTCATACTATTGAGAAACTGAGAGCATTAGTACTGAGAATTATCACTGTGCATTGTTCATTGCTTCCTGTTACTTTGTTGTTATGGTGTGGGTTTTTCCACTTTCCTTTGATTTGCTGGTCTGTCATTATTTGTTTTTTGTGTTTTCTGGAGTGTGGCTGACCTCTTAGACTGAAGTTTTCCTTCCATTGCTTTCTGTAGAGTTTGATTTGTAAATAGAGACTGCTTACATTTGGTTTTATCATGCACCTCTGTCTATGGTGACTTATAGTTTTGCTGGGTACAGTAGTCTGAGATGGCATCTGTGGTTTTTTTTTTTTTTTTTTTTTTGTTTTGTTTTGTTTTGTTTTTGTTTTTTTTTTTTTTATAGTTTGAGGAACATCTGTCCAGGCCTTCTGGCCTTTACAATCTTCAATGAACAGTTGGGTGTTATGGTTCCACCTTCATATATTACATGGTACTTTACCCTTGGAGCTTTTAATATTCTTTCTTGATTGTGTACTTTTAGTGTTTTGATTACTAGGTATCTGTCATGGAGAATTTCTTTTCTGGTTCTATTTGGTATTCTGCATGCTTCTTGTACATTGACAGGCACCTCCTTCTTTCATTAAGGGAAATTTTCTTCTCTGGTTTTGTTGAAAGTATTTTTCTGTGCTTTTCACCTAGATTTCCTCTCCTTCCCTCATTACTATTATTCATAGGTTTGTTCTTTTCATAGTGTCTCACATTTGCTGGGTGTTTTGTTCCTAGAGTTTCTTTGAGTAGGTATCCAGGCCTTTTAGTTTGTCACCAATGCCCAAGAGTCTCGCTTCCACATCTTGTAATCTGTTGATGAGGTTTACCTCTCAGCTTATTATTTGACATCCTGTTTTTATCCAGTCTTATCTCAGTTTGGGTTTTCTTTAGTGATTCTATTTCTACCTTTACAGCTTGAACTATTTCCATTATTTCATTCTGCTCTTTGTGTTCTCACAGCCTTCATTAAGGAATGTATCCATATCCTCTTTAAGTTCCTTGACAGATTCATAACTGCTATTTTAAAGGACTTATTTTGCACTTCAGCTGTATTGAATTTCTAAGGGTCTACTCTGGTATATTGTCTTGAGTGTTAACGTTTGTGCTTTTGTGCTGGCATCTAGGCATCTGGATTTAGGATGATTGAGGTGATTCTAGGTGTTGCTATCTGGTCTTGTCTTTTTTGAGTGGGTGTACCACTTGTTGGTTTCTGTTGCCCTCTCTGGATCTTAGGAAAGTGTGGTGCCTGTGGGTTGCCTAGTAGAGAGTGTTTCTGTAGTCAGTGGGTGGCAGAAAGGATTAGAGGCAAGCTAGGAGAAAAGACTGAGAGGGGCTACAGGAAGGAGCTAAGGGGATCCTATTCCCACAGCAAGGTGGGGTCCAGAGGGTTGGAAGTGTGGTGGGAGGAGGGTCCCCTGCAAGTAGGTTGCAGTAAGATAAAGACTAATGAGGGGAGACAAGGACGAAACACTAAAGGGACCTCGAGTCTATACTAAGAGTTGATATCTCCAGTGAGTGGAGTTAGGGCTGAAGGAGGGGCACCTGTGAGCAGGATGTTATTGGGCTGAGGGTGAGAATGGAAAAATCTTAATGGAGGACAGGAGGGATAGTGTGAATCAGCTACCTGCATCCCTGCTAGATGTGGCCTTTGGGGTTCCAGGTAGAGATAGTTTCTAGGTACCAAAAGCTGACACAAAGGAATGGGGTTGGACTAGAAGGGGTTGTGAGAAGGTCCACAGGAATGGAAAAATCTGGGTCTGTAGCAAGGTTCCATAGAGTCCCCAGGGAATGGAGTTAGGGAGGGAGGAGAGGCACCTGCAAGTAGTCTACTACAGGGTTGGGAATGAGACTGGAGAGACTGTAATGGGAAGGAAGGAGAATGTTATCACCTACTTGAATCCCAGCTCAGTGTGGCCACTTGAGATCCCAGGTAGAGTGTTTGTAGGTATTGGCAGTTGGCACAGAGGAATGGGATGGGCTCTACTGCAGATTTCAATTTACTTTCTTTGTTATTCATACTTAGTGTTTTAGCTATGACATATCATGAAGGTTTTCTTTTCTGGTCTTGTCTGTGTGATGTTCTCTGTGCTGCTTGTATTTATGTGGATGTGTCTTTTCTTAGTTTGGCGAAGTTTTCTTCTATGATCTGATCTATACCATTGACTTATACTCTTCTGTAGATGTAACAGTCTTATTAAATAAGAAACACAGAGCCAAATACAGAGTTAAAAGCCCAAGAGGTCAGAGCAGCAGCCAACAGCTGATACTAAAATCCCTTTTTTACACTTCCCTGCTGCTTCCATCCATCCTTCCCCTGAGAAAGAGGCCTACTTCCTGTGTGTCTGTCTTTTTATTGACTCTCTCTGTTCTGCATTCTCATTGGTTGTAAACCCAACCACATGACCTCCTAGTCAATGCCTGTCTATACAGACCTCCAGGTCTCTATGGTTGGTATTGATATTAAAGGCGTGTGTCTTCATGCTGGCTGTATCCTTGAACACACAGAGATCTGCCTGTATTGTGATCAGGATTAAAGGTATGTGCTACCACCATCTGGCTTCTGCTATGGCTTGCTATTAGCTCTGACCCCCAGGCAACTTTATTTATTAACATACAAATAAAATCATATTCCAGTACAAATGAAATATCACCATACTCTTCCCCTTCATGCATGTCTTGATGTGAAGGGTTTTTTTCAAGGTCATCAACTTTCATGACTTATGCAGATCTAACTGTAAGACCTGGGATTTGAGGACATTAGAGAATGGGGAGGATCATAGTCTAATTCTGTATACCATTTTATTTTAGTTTCAGTGTATTTTTATACACAAATTATACAAAGAAATCATCTGGTCACTGTGTACTGTGTATATTGTCATGTAGCTAGAGTTTTCCTGCCTGGCCCACAGTCAGGACAAATCTCTGACACCCGCCAGTCCCACAGCCATTCAGACCCGACCAAGTAAACACAGAGACTTATATTGGTTACAAACTGTATGGCCGTGGCAGGCTTCTTGCTAACTGTTCTTACAGCTTAAATTAATCCATTTCCATTAATCTATACCTTGCCACATGGCTCGTGGCTTACCGGTACTTTACATCTTCCTTGTCCTGATGGCGGCTGGCAGTGTCTCTCCCACCCAGCTTCCTGTTCTCTCAATTTTCCTCTCTGTTAGTCCCGCCTATACTTCCTGCCTGGCCACTGCCAATCAGTGATTTATTCATTGACCAATCAGCAACACATTTGACATACAGACCATCCCACAGCATTGTCAGCATGTTTTTTTTGTTTGTTTGTTTTTAACCAGTAATGGAGTTTTCTAGAACATAACTGTACATGTTGAGCATACCACATGAAATAGTAAAAAGTAATTGATTAAAGGATAAAGAGTAGGAAAATATGGTCTTCAGAGATAGCTCAAGTGGTAAAATGTTTGTTGCACAAGAACAGGACCTGAGTTCAGACCCCCAACACCTATTTTGAAGTCCAGAGGTGGTGGTCTGGGTCTACCTGTAATCCCAACATTGAGGTGGTTGAACCAGACAGATCTCTGGAGATCAGTGGTCAAGCAGTCTAGCCAAATTGGTGAGTTCCAGGTTCAGTCTGCCTCAAAGACTAACCAGAAAGAGAGTGAGAAAGATACCTGTTGTCAACTGCTGGCTTTTAGAGGCACTAGCACACATATTTGCATACACATCTACATGTACACACTGTAGAACAAATCTAAAAAGGTCTTATTAATGAAAATAAACCTGGAGCAAGGTATTGGGGTGAATGCTGGAAGATCAGAGAAGCAGAACAAGCCACAGCCACCTCACCTTGCCAATTCCCCAGCTGATCCTGTTTCCTCAGACTGGATGCCTCTGAGTCCTCATCCGAATGGCTCTCAGCTGAACTGTTACGCAGAAGCCTAAAAGCTTAACCAGCTCTAGTTCCTGGTTTTCATGCCTTATATACTTTTCTGCTTTCTGCCATCACTTCCTGGGATTAAAGGTGGGAGTCACCATGCCTGGCTGTTTCCAGTGTGGCTTTGAACTCAGAGATCCAGATGGATCTCTGCCTCCCAAGTGATAGGATTAAAGGCGTGAGCGCCACCATTTTCTGGCTTCTATACTATCTAGTGGCTGTTCTGTCCTCTGACCCCAGATAAGTTTATTAGGATGCACAATATATTGGGGGGACACAATATATCACCACAATACACAAACATACTCCACACACACATTCACATGTATGCACATATGCATGCACAAAGAAAATTAGGAAGGCTAGACAGTGAAAGCATGGATTAGGAGATAAGAAAAGAGATGGATCCATCTTCAGGGTAGAGAGATGGTTCTTTGGTTAAGAGCTGGTACTGCTCTTATGGAGGACATGAGTCCAGTTCTCAGCACCCATTTCAGGTTGCTCAAAACCATCTGGAACTCCAGCTCCAGGGGATCCAGTGTATCACCATATTTTATTTGTGCCGAAATGTGATTTTATTTGTCTGTTCATAAATAAAGTTGCCTGGGGGTCAGAGCTAATAGCAAGCTATAGCAGAAGTCTGGCAGTGGTAGCACACGCCCTTAATCCCGATCACATGACAGGCAGACCTGGAGGTCTGTACAGACAGGCAGTGATGAGGAGGTCATGTGGTTGGGTTTACAACCAATGAGAAGGCAGAACAGAAAGTCAATAAAAAGACAGACACACAGGAAATAGGTCTCTTTCTCAGGGGAAGGATGGTAGTGGGTGGTAAGAAGGCGGTTTTAGTCTCAGCTCTCAGCTACTGCTCTGACCTCTTGGCCTTTTAACTCTGTATTTGGCTCTGTGTTTCTTATTTAATAAGACCATTTGGCTCTGTGTTTCTTATTTAATACGACTGTTACATTTACACCAATGCTTTTGGTAGTTTGCTTTCTATTGCTGTGATAAAACATCATGACCAAAAGTCATTTGGGGAGAAAAGGAGGAAGTCAAGGCAGGAACTCAAGCAGGACAAGAACCAGAAGGCAGGAATTTCAAGGAGTTTAGTGGAGGCATTTTCTCAATTGAATTTCCTCTACTTATTTGACTCTAGCTTATGTCAAGTAGACAAAAAACTAACCAGCACAATAGGATAGTCATGTTTATGATATTAATTCTTCCAGTCCTTGAGCAAGCAAAATCTTTTCATCTTCTGATATCTTCCTCAATTTCTTTTTCAATATCTTAAAGTTTTCATTATAGAGTTCTTTCATTTTTGGGTTCAGACTTTCCCCAAGTATTTATTTATTTGATATTTATTTATTTTGTGTGTATCTATTGTGAAAGAAAAATATCTACACAACTTATTTTTCAGTATGATTGTCATTGGTACATAGGGAATCTCTGGATTTTTGTGTGTTCACTTTGAATCCTCATACTCTGCTAGAAGTGTTTATCAGCCTCTAAGGGTTTCTTTATCTTTAGGACTTCTTATACATAGAATCGTGTCATCTGCAAGGAAGACCACTTTGAGTTTTCGTATTTGTGTCTCTTCTTTCTTTCTCTACTTAGCATACTGTTATTTATAGGTTTATTGTATACATCCTGTGTGCAACTTCTACCTCTAATAATCAGGAAAGAATTATAGATTTTGTTAACAGCCTTTCTCCATCTAATGAGATGATCATGTGGTTTCTGTTTTTGAACCTAATATGTGGTGGATTATATCTATTGATTTATATATGCTGTACCATCCTGTATTAATGCAAAAAACTAACTTTATCATGGTGAATAACCTTTTTAATGAAATATTGAATTCAGTTTGCCAGTATTATATTGAAAAATTTTAAATCTATATTCATCAGGGAGATTGGTCTAAAATAATCCTCCTTCTCCTCTTCTTTTTCCTTTTGTGTGCCTTTATCTGGTGTTTTGGTAAGAAGGTAATCCTGGATAATAAAAAGAACAGCATGGAAGTTGAATTTTGAAAGGGGCTTTATATATTTTAAAGAGACCAAACTTTTTAAAGATTTGGACTTTTAAAGTTATTTAATGTCTTATAATGAAATATTAATATTAGCATGCCATCTTGGGGACAAATGAGAAAGAAAAAATTCTCATTGAATACTGAAGTATCTTCATGTCAAGTTGACAAGGATTCAGTCATGCTGGCCAGTTTCATGTCAGCCTGACACAGCTAGAGTCATTTTGGAAAAGGGAACCTCAACTGAGAAAACGCCCCCATCAGGCTGGCCTGTGGGCAAGCCTATGGTGTATTCTCTTGATTAACTGATGCGAGAGGGTCTGGCTCACTGGGTGGTGCTACTCCTGGGATATTGGTCCTGGGTGCTATAAGAAAGAAGGCTGAGCAAGTAACAGAGCACAAGCCAGTAAGCATCACTCCTCTGTGGCCCCTGTGTAATTTTCTGCCTCCAATTCCTGTCCTGCTTGAGTCTCTGCCCCAAATTTCCTCCATGATAGAGTGTGATCTGAGAGTTGTAAGCTGAAATAAATCATTTTCTCCCAAAGTTGCAATAGAAACCCTAACTAAGTCAGATCCCAACTAAGTAGAGTAAAAAGAGAGAGAAATAAAGGAGGTAAGTCAGTAATTTTCTGTACCGAGTTGAATCTACATACATGTAATCCAGTGTTAAAATGGTATTTTAACGGGAAGGAAAGTGTCTTATGAGATGTCAATGGTGTATGAAAGAGGTGTAAAAAATCTAAACTAAGAGACTTCATCAGACATACTCATCTAAGTGTACCTAGCATGCAGTCACATACAAACACTTAAAATGAGCATGATGTTTTCCTTGGAGGCCATCATGTGAGAATACCTGACTGCGACTTTCTGCCACTCCAGACATGTCTCTCCATGAGCTATTATACCATACATGAGGAAATTACTGACTGTCTCACTAATCCCATCAATCAGTTTGCATTGTTCTTCAGTTCCCTTCAAATGAAAACATTTATAGAGGATAACCTTCGGTCTGCTTCCCTTCCCTAGTCATGTTCTCTGTGAGATTCCCCCATGCCATTGCAGATGTTAGAAATGTGTTGATGAGGCCGGGCGGTGGTGGCGCACGCCTTTAATCCCAGCACTCGGGAGGCAGAGCCAGGCGGATCTCTGTGAGTTCGAGGCCAGCCTGGTCTCCAAAGCGAGTTCCAGGAAAGGCGCAAAGCTACACAGAGAAACCCTGTCTCGAAAAACCAAAAAAAAAAAAAAAAAAAAAAAAAAAAAAGAAAAAAAAAAAAGAAAGAAATGTGTTGATGTTAATGCAGAGGATCATTCAGTGGAGAAGTTTAGCTGTCACTGATTGAGGAGTGGGTCTTTTTGGAGTGTTTGGAATAAACTTAGAAATGATAATGCTATGAACATTCGTAGGTTAGAATATGTTTATAGCCTTCTGAGGACTGGAATCACTCACTGGAATTTGAAGAGAAATTATGCTTTCCAACCTGAGTTTTTCTTTTCATAGCATCTGTGTAGTCTTACATTCCATGGATCATCTCTAGTTGCTTTACTTCTTTTAGCTTTTTTATTGAAAAAAATTTTATACAATGTGTTCTGATCATGGTTTCTGTAAGTATTACAGTTCAGATGGAAAGGTGTCCTGGCAGTTGGGAGCCTGGGAATACCACAAAGTCACACAACACAACATACCTCACACAAGTGATTTATTGGGAGGGAAAAAACCAGGAGGGTGGCTGCCTCTGCTCAGGTGAGAAACATCAGGGAACTGAACAGAAGGCAGGGTTTATATAGAGTTTCTTGGGGTGGGGACTGGTGGGATTTTTGAATCCAGAGCTTGGGCTTCTTACTCTGTAAGACAAGGGCTGAGTCCAGCCCTTAGGGCAGTTGGAATGTTCTGTGGGTGGAACCTGACAGTTAGAAGTCCTTGGGGAAGGGGCCTGACCACACAGGTGCCTTGATAGGCTTACAGTTTCCCATTCTCCAGTTCCTTTCAGATCCTCCACATCTCTCCACCCACATAGCTGCATTTCCCTTCTCTCTTGAGAAAATAAACCATAATTTATGTACAAATTGAAAAAAGCCACAAGAAATATGTGTGTATATTCACACACAGAGATACACACACATAGATGTACACTCACCCCCACACACATAAACCAGAAAACCACAAATTCAGAAATTATAGTATACAAGCAAAAGACAAGACCAAAAAAAAAAATGCCCAAATGAAGCTCTCTCTACAAACAACAATTCTCCCCACAAGATCCCTGGTGGAGGGACACCTACTGTTTTACTATTGTTTCCTGATGTAAATAAATGTTCAAGTCTTTCCTTTCCTCATCTAGTATTTGGCAAAAAAGAAAAAGAAAAAATGAAACAAAGAAAATTCTTTTTTTTTTTTTTGAAAATTCTTACCTGAACTAAAATCAGAATTTTTTTCCCACTTGTTTTCACATTTGGATATAAGATGATTTACCACACACACATATATGCATTTCTTCAAGTGCCTCCCACTTTTTCTGTTCCCTGGGGCTCCTACCATAGGCTCTCCAGATCACTGAGCACACAATGCTTGAATGAGCACAGCATTGTTAGGTAACAGCTTCTCTTCCTTTACTTATCAGAGGTTGTAAACCTCTTGCCACACTCTGCTCTCCTCATGACCTGGTGTGAACTTTGAGGTCTTAGTCTTGTCTGCCTCCCAGTGGACCACATTTGCTTTGGTCCATGGCCCCCTTCCTCCGGGCATCTACCTGGACTCAAGTCCTCCTGGGAGGTTCTCTCTGGCTGTCTGTGCTCTGGGTACTGTTGTGCCCTGTCTGTTGCTCCCAGGGCCCACCCAAATGGCGCTTCACTACCTCTGAAGTTGTGATCCCCAGGAAGGTTCCCCAAAGAATGGGTGGAAGTGATAGGCCAGACCAGCTCGCCTATAGCATGCGCTTCAGAGGACAAAGACACGTGGTCCACATGAAACTCAAGAAGAACATGATTCCTGAAAATCTTCCTGTGTACACTACTAACGATCAAGGAGCAGAGCAGGAGGACTACCCATTTGTCCCTCGAGACTGTTACTTCTACAGCTACCTGGAAGGGGTCCCTGGGTCCCTCGCGACACTAGATACCTGCAATGGAGGTCTGAATGGCATGCTACAGGTGGATGACTTCACCTATGAAATCAAACCATTGGCATCTTCTTCCAAATTTGAGCATGTTGTTTCTCGGCTTGTGGTAGAAGAAGGGTTTCGTAAGTCTAAAAAGTGTACCAATGAAGAGAATGTGGTGGAGGCAGATGAATTCCTTGAAGAGATGCAGCTTGCTGGAAGTCCCAGAGCAGCTCCAGTGTATTTGTGGCGTGTGCATACGAAATTAGTAAGAATGTACTACACGATAACTATTGAAGTAACCAGAAATATCCGCAACTACACTGCCTCACTTGAGTTTATATTGATTATGAACAACATAGCAGACAGCATTTATAAAGAAGCTGGCTTGCGTGTCTATCCCTATGTCATAGAGATTTGGGAAACTCATAATGGACTGGATATAAACCAGTGGCAAAACGATCCTCAACAAATTATGTCAAACTTCGGCACTTACAAAAAGAATGCATACGCAAATAAGGATATGAGGACCACCACTCATGCTCTTTTAGCAGGATTGCAATATGGAGGTGTAGATTATGCAGCCATGCAGAATCAAGCATGCTCAAAATTTAAAGGAATAGTATATGTACATATTATAAACATGCATAAATTTCTGGGTACAGCTCTTTTGTGTCACGCACTAGGTCACAGTCTGGGTTTACACCATGATAAACCGGGCTGTGTTTGTTTCAGAAGAAGCAGTTGTGTCATGAATGAATTTCCTGCTCTTATGGATATGATGAGCAATTGTTCCCAGGCTGACCTACATACTATAGTAACTAAAGTCGACAATTGCCTGACTTTCCCTCGTTCTCAATTTTATAGAGAAGTATATGATGTTCCTCGCTGTGGAGATAACAAGGTGAATGCCAATGAGCAATGTGACTGTGGTCCCTTGAAAGAGTGTATCAATAATAGCTGTTGTGCAACCAATTGTCGCTTTACTTCGGGAAGTAGTTGTGATGTAGGACGTTGCTGTCAGCAATGTTCATTTGCACCTGCTGGAACTGTGTGCAGAGACAAACTTGGTATTTGTGATCTGCCAGAATACTGTGATGGAAACTCACAGAATTGCCCCAAAAATTTTTACATCCAAGATGGAACTCCCTGCTCACCACTAGCAGTTTGCATTTCAGGAAATTGCAGTGACCGTGATTTGCAGTGTCAAGCTCTTTTTGGATACCAAGTAAAGGATGCAAAACCAGCATGCTATAAACAGTTAAATATGAAAGGTGACCGATTTGGAAACTGTGGGTTGAAGTTGTTTCGAACAGGAACCAGATTTAAGGCATGTCAAGATGATGATATTTTTTGTGGACTGCTACATTGTGATGGTGTCATTCGTGTACCTGGTGGAGGTGAGCACACTACATTTCATCACATAAGGATACAAGATATTCAAGAAGAACACTGCTTTGGGTATGATGTACACCATGGGACAGGTATTCCAAGTATGGGGCTTGTAGTGGATGGTGCAACCTGTGGCCCAGGGAAATACTGTAGAAAGCAATCTTGTGTTTTTCATCAAAACTTGAATTTTACATGCGACGTCGCTGCCTGTAATCACAGAGGGGTGTGTAACAACAGAGGCCATTGTCACTGTGTGCATGGTTGGCAACCACCAAACTGTGAAGAAGAAGGTTCAGGTGGTAGTGCAGACAGTGGCCCTGTACCTACCTCTGAGGAAATGCTTCAAGCCAAAATTCGTGTGAATATAAACAAGATACTAGTTGTCTTGTGTACTCGTATGATTCTTGTTTTGGCTTCACTTTTTTTTGGTGGAATTTCAAAAGTAGTAATTGTTCTGGACAGCAGACGGAGAGCTTATCAGGCATGATCATTGATTTCATCCCATACTAACTGGAGCCACACAATGAACAAAATCCTTGTCAAATACTACAAGAAATTGTTAATGACTTCCCCTGACAGCCATGTAACCATTCACAAATCTGAGGTTTTCATCTTGAAATAAAATTACTGGGGAATTATAGTTGTGCCTCTATGTTTAAATTTGCTCTTCATAATTCTCCCCCTCCCCCTCTCTCTCTTCTCCCTCCCCCTCCTTTATCTTCTCCCTTCCCTCTATTTGTGCAGATACTTGTGGAGGCCAGAGTCAGAGCCCCTGGAGTTGGAGTTACAGGTAGTTGTGGGTCATCCATCATGGATGCTGAGAACCAAACTCGGGGTCTCTGCAGGAGTAACATTTTAACTGCTGTGTTAGCACTCCAGCCTCTTTTTTTTTTTTTTTTTTTTTTTTTTTTTTTTTTTTTTTGAGACAGGGTTTCTTTGTGTAGCTTTGTGCCTTTCCTGGAACTCACTCTGTAGCCCAGGCTGGCCTCGAACTCACAGAGATCCGCCTGCCTCTGCCTCCCGAGTGCTGGGATTACAGGTGTGCACCATCACCACCCGGTGTCCCCAGCCTCTTAAGATCACATAATTTATCACTTCTGAGGTTTTGTTTTGATATTAATTTTTATTGTCCTGTTTTGTACTAAGCAGCACAGCCAAGAACCCAGGGCCTTTCCAAAGCCAGGTAAATGCCCCACCACTCTACTATACCCCAACATTTAGTCACATTCTTTATACTCCTATGTGTAAAATCCATCTTTCAGATATCTTTTCATGAAAAAATGTCCGTATTTATGATGTCCATGTTTTCTGGATGCCTCTGTATCAAATTTGGGCTGCATTAGTATATGCTACTGTCACCATTGTCCTGGCCTGCTGGAAATTGAATTAGATTATCATCTATTTTATTGTTAATGTAAAGTAAGCATCAAGAGGGACATTTATGAATTATATGGATGCACGAATGAAAGAAACATTCATGTTACAGAAATCTGAATTTCAGTAGTGGTGTTGAACTTTGCTACGTGACAATGGGAAAACCTATTTTTCCCCACAAATATCCAGTGATTACACTCAACATGCTGAGATGAGATACACTTCTCCAAAAGTATCAAAATTGATTCCAGTGCCAACAACAATGCTGGAGTGTTTTAGGGGCTCAATACACACACTAGCTTCTACCATTGTCTTCAGGTTGTATAGTGTTAAGAACTGTGGTTGTGGGGGAATGTGTAACAAGAACAAATATTGTCATTATATGTGTTTGGAGACCACCAACATATGATCATAGAAGAGAGGGTCATAGTGCAGATGGGGCCCTCCACCTTATAGACAAGTGGTCTGTGAGCCAGGATATCCATGTAAATCAGGCACTTATCTGGTACTCACTGTGTTCTTTTTATGGTTTCAGTGCTTGCCTAGTGACCTTCCTAAAGGAAAGGGGAACTTGTGGGGGAGGGAAAAAGCATTTAAAGGAGAATTTGAAAGTAGTAATTCTTTTTACATACCAGAGGAAGCCCCATTATGAAGGAAATCACTGTCAACTACAGGAAGGAATCATCCACATCGCTCTGACAATTTCATATTCTCCAAGAAGCCTGGGGTTTACATCCTGAAATAAATTCATAGTGGGGTTTAAAAAATCGGCTTCTGTGTTTAACTTCATCTAAAACATAATTTCTGAAGGTTACTCTCTTTTCCTTGGCTTGGTTGATTTTCTTTCTATTGTACCATCCTCTGCTGTACTCCAATGCCTGGCCATGCTCTGCATGTACCTATAGATGAGACAGAGCTTCCAAAGTCACAAGAGGAACTGCACACATTCTAAGAGGCCAGCCCTCCTGGTTTCCAGATGTTCCTGCACTGAATTTCACAAGTATTAGCATGCACCAATGTTAGCATTGTCATGGTGTTTAAAATCAACTGTATTAGAATTTTATACTTGTCCATTTTATTGTTAATATAAAACTGCTAAGCATTAAAAAAGGACATATACCTGTGATGGAGGTAGAAGCATAAAAGCTTTTGTGTTTTAAGCATCTGGAATTTCAATAGTGGTTCTGAACCTTGCTATGTAACTATCTACAGTCATATTTTCAGGTCTTTGAGGACTGTATTCAATATTCCTAGTTGAAATATACTTTGGCTACATGTTCCGAAATTGAAGATTTTATTAGAAAATGATGGAAATTCTAGGAACTGAATGTACACTTTCTTCTAGTCTTTCTTCTCATCCTCATGCCTGGATTGTGCTAAATGTGGTCTTTTCCACGCTCAGACTTTGATGTCTTTACTGCTAAGTCAGCACAGAAAGAATCAGCAGCTATAATTTTCAATTATTTAATTACTTCATGAAACTTCTCATGTTTGAAATCATAGGATCTCATATATCAATTCTCAAAATTACATAAACAGTGTGTATAAACAAATTATATATAACTATATGATGTGTGCGGATGAAATTTTAGTGGAAGGGTTTAGAATAATTCACTTCAGAAATAGTTTCACAGAATGAGGGATGAATAATAAGGATTATATTCCTTTCTTTGAAGTCAAAGTCTTCAATCAAATTTCTTTTCTAAATCAGGGCTCTACTTTTAGGGTTGGCATCAAATGAGAAGGAATGATTAATAATCAAGAGAACCAGTATGGTTTCCACGTGTGACAGATTTAATCATCTACTTGACAGAATCTAGAATCACCTGGGTTGGGCACCTCAGTGAGGGACTATCTAGATTAAGCTGGCCTGTGAGCATGTCTGTGGAGGATTATCTTAATGTTGTCAATTGATGTGGGAAGACACATCCACTGTGGGAGGCACCCTTCCCTAGAAGGAGGATTCCAAGCTATGTGGAGTGGCAAAAATGAGCAGCTGCTAAGTACTCATGCACCAGTGCCCTGCTCTCTGCTCAGGACTGTGGGTGCAATGTGACCTACTACTTCAAATTCTTTCCACCTTGCCTTTCTTGAAGTGATGGGCCATAGCCTGGAATTGTAAGACAATTAAGTTGCTTTCCCCAGGATATTTTATCACAGCAACAGGAAAGGAGACTAAGACATCATTTATAACATTATAGTTTGTCTATTTTCTGTAGAGCTCTGTAGGGGCTGAATTTCTTGGCTTATACAGAAGAGTTATCTGTGTTTTCATTGACTGTTGTAGAATATTTCTTAAGATATGTTGCATTTGTGCTATGGAACATTTCCTCAATGATGCAAAGATGTGTTTCATTCTTTTACATTGCATTTGTTTAACTCTGTAAAGCTGTGTTACTTTGCCTGTCTAAAACACCTGATTGGTCTAATAAGGAACTGAACAACCAATAGCAAGGTAGGAGAAAGGATAGAAGGGGCTGACAGGCAGAGAGAATAAATAGAAGAAGAAATCTGGGAGGAAAGGAAGAAGGAACAAGAAAAGAGGAGAGAGGACACCAGGGGCCAGCCACCCAGCTACACAGCCAGCCATGGAGTAAGAGTGAGAGTAAGGTTACAGAAGTAAGAGAAAGATAAAAGCCTATTGTTGAAGAATAAATGGGTAATTTAAGAAAAGCTGGCTAGAAACATGCCAAGCTAAGGCTGGGCATTTGTAATGAAGAATAAGCCTTTGTGTGTGATTTATTTGGGAGCTGGGTTGTGGCCCTCCACCAAAAGAGTAAAAAAAAAAAAAAAACCACCACCAGCAACATATTGGTGCTCCAATGGGTGGCAGAACCACAGAGAGGGAGGGGTCATGCCAACTGGCTCTGCTGCATATGCCATCTGGACCTCTCCAAACCAGCAGTCAGCTGCCTCTTGCCCAGAGAAGTCAACAGAATTGGTGAGAGACTTAAGAAATCCTTTAGGAGAGTAGGAGAAAATTAAATAATATTGAAAAGATTTTTTTTTTTACATTATGAATGGGAAACATAACAACAGAGTGCTAGAACCCTGTATACTGCTACCTTAGAAAGCTTGAAATTAGAATCAGAATATGGGAAGATTAATGATTTAACTGACATTGATATAGTACTGGTAATACATACTATCAATGTGGTAATTAATATTTTTATCACTAATAATAGCCTTGTTGGGTCTTTTTGTGCTAAATATGACAAGTGGGTTAATAGGATGCAGGCACTGGAAAGATATACTAATGAAAAAAGAAAGATGCTCAGACACAGAATGAGGAATTTAGAGCAGAATTTACCATACCATTGCATTGTGAAACTGGAGAGGAATGGCCTACGGTTATTAGAACACCAACTTTAGTATATCCAGTTATTGTTCAACAACAACCACCAGATGATATGTATCCCCAAGGCTATGCACAAGTTTAGTGGAATCTTGTAGATATGTTGGACTTAAAGGGATTTAAGGAAGCAGTAGTTTCATATGGTATGCATTCACCATTTGTAAGATTAACACCCTTTGTTAAATTCATGGGCAACTAGGAATAGGATTATTCCACAAGACTGGAAGGATTTAGTTTCAGCAGTATTAGAAGCTGGTCCTTAATTACAATGGTGAACTTGGTGGAGAGAGGAAGCCAGGGCCCTGGAATAATGAGGTAGGGCTAGAGGTCATGAGATTTCCCAAGACCAAGTTCTTGGTGAGTATGCTGATTTGCAAAGAGTGTATGTTGGATGATAACACCATGATTCTATGTCATATAGCATATTTGACTGCTTGGAATAGGGTTGAGGAATCAGGAAAGAGGACTGAATCATTTACTAAAATTATAAAAGATCTGAAAGAAACTTTCACTGACATTTTATACAGATTAACATCAGCTGTAAATAGAATGATATTGGATCCAGATGCTAGACAAATATTAATTGAATCTTTGGCTTTTGAAAATTCTAATGCAGAATGCAAAAGGGTGATTAGGTCTTTAAGGCAAGATCAGCACCTATAGAGGAAAGGATCATAGATACAGTTGATATTGGCCCCCATATTTCTAATGAAAATTCTTGGATAGGAGCACTACTTTCTAAAAATACAAAGAAGAATCAAAATGTTAGGTGTTTTAATTGTGGTAGACAAGATCATCTGAAAAGGGGGCATAGGCAAATTGCTCCTAGAAACAATATTTATTATTGAAATAATTCAAACAGAAGGCTCCAACCTTCTGGAGTACACAGAGGGTGTTGCAAAGGCCAGCATTGGACTAATGAATGTAGATCAATAAGGGACAGGCAAGGTAACACTTTGCCATTGGGAATCATCTTGCAGGGCCTCTTGCAGGACCCAATGACAAATGTAGTTCAATAATTCCCTACCAGCATTGGGGAAAACCCTCCACAAAATGATTAAATGATATAATGCCTCTCGTTAAAAATCATATGTCTCTGGATCCCACAATAGCTTTAGAAAATTGAACAAAAATTTCGGGAGAAACCATAAAGCAAATATTTTCGCAAACTTCCATAAATGATCAAAGACTAAAGTTAAAAACATGAATAAATGGCACAGAACTTGAGGGTTTGGTAGACACAGGTGCAGATGTAACAATAATTGCACCAAAATCATGGCACCCAGGTTGGCCTCTTCAGAAATAAATGTTTAGCTTTTAGGGATTAGCAGCTTGTCTCAAGTAAAAAAAAGTGCAAGATGGGTTGGGTGTATAGGGCTGGAAGGACAGACAGGAACATTGAAATCATATGAGGCTAACATAACAATGAATTTATGGGGATGTGGTTTATTGCAGCAATGGAAAACACAGATTAACATTGCCCCAATCTCAGAAATGAACTACAAAATAAGGACTGCTTCTGGGAGAAACATCAAAAAATACTATCAAGGACAATCACAGACCATTCAAGCTTTACATAATCAGGGGACAAAAGCTGTTTGTATTTCAAAGGTACCAACAACCCTACCTTTAAAATGGTTGATTGACAACCTATTTGGGTGAAATAATGGCCTTTGACATCAGAAAAATTACAGGCCTTAGAATAGCTGGTAAAGGAGCAGTTAAATGCTTACCATATTGATGAATCAACCAGTCCTTGGAACTCTCATGTGTTTGTTATTAAAAAGAAATCTGGAGCCAGGTGGTGGTGGCGCATGCCTTTAATCCCAGCACTTGGGAGGCAGAGCCAGGTGGATCTCTGTGAGTTCAAGGCCAGCCTGGGCTACCAAGTGAGTCCCAGGAAAGGCGCAAAGCTACACAGAGAAACCCTGTCTCGAAAAACCAAAAAAAAAAAAGAAAGAAATCTGGAAAATGTAGAATGTTATCAGATCTAAGAGCCATAAATAAGGTGATTCAGCCAATGGCCTCTTTACAGTCTGGAATTCCCTTGCCTTCTTTATTACCGAAGGGATGGCCTATTATAGTGATTGATTTAAAAGACTGCTTTTTTTACTGTACCATTACAACAACAAGATAGAGAAAAATTTGCCTTCATTGTGGGTGCCTACTTATAATGCTTCTCAGCTTGTTAAGAGATATCAATGGAGGGTTCTCCCACAAGAGATATTGAACATCCCCACCATGTGCCAATATTTTGTACAACAGCCCTTGAAAACAATTCATGTATAGTTTTCTAAATCTATAATTTACCAGTATAAGGATAGTATTTTATTAGCTGATTCAAATGTAGATGCTTTAGAAAAAATGTTTGAAGAAGTAAAGAAAATTTTGCCTTGCTGAGGATTACAAATTGCTTTTGAAAAAAAATGCAAAGAAGAGATTCTATTAATTACTTAGGATATAAAATATGTTTACAAAAAATTCAACCCCAAAAGGTACAAATCAGGAAAGATCAATTGCAGACTCTTAATGACTTTCAAAATTTGCTAGAAGACATTGCCTAAAGGCCCACTATTGGAGTAACAACTCAAGAACTGAGTAATTTGTTTTAAACCTTAAAAGGTGACAAGGACTTAAATAGTCTAAGAGAATTATCAGTTGAAACTGAGAGAAAATTGGCTTTAGTGGAAAAGATGTTACAGGATGCACATGTGGATCATTTGGATCCGGAGCTTGATTGCATTCTGGTAATTTTACCCTCTATGCATTCCCCTACTGGAATTTTAATAAATAGAAAAGATATTAAAAAAAATTAAAGACATATGTGGAGAAGGTTTCTGAGTTGATTCTAAAGGGAAAATTAAGACTTCATTAATTGACAGGAATGGACCCAGTAGAAATTATAGTACCTTTTACTAATACTTCATTGTGGGCAGAAAATGAAAATTGGCAAAGAGCTTGCAGTAATTTTTTGGGAGAGATAATTAACAAATATCCAAAAACACAAGAGATTTTATTTTATAAAAAAACAAATTGGATTTTACCTCATATTGTAAAAAGGGCTCATACAGGGGCTCCCAATTTCTGGAGCCTCTACATTCTATGCTGATGCAAATAAATCAGGAAAGGCAGGTTATAGGTCAGGAAAAACAAGTAAATGGTTCAAAGTCCTTATGACTCAATTCAGAAATTCGAATTGTATGCTATTCTCATGGTATTATTAGATTTTTCAGAACCTCTTAATATAATTACTGACTCTTACTATGCAGAAAGAGTTGTCTTACATATTGCAACCACTGAACTTATTTCTGGTAAGTCAGAATTAACTTCAACACTTATACAATTACATGAAATAGTCAGGAATAGGAATTATCCCATATATATATGGGATATATATATATATATATATATATATATATATATATATATATATATATATATCACCTATATGATCCCGTATGGGTCTACCAGGCTGTCTAGCACAAAGTAATGATAAAATTAATCAGTTATTAATAAAAATGAGGCCTCAGAGTTTCATTAAAAAAAAACCCACCATGTCAATAGCAAGGGTTTAATGAAAGGATTTTTCCATCATTTTTCCATGGCTTGGCAACAAGCCCAGGAAATTATAAGAAAATGTCCTACTTGTTCCCTGTATATCAAAACTGCAGTACCTGCAGGAAGTAACCCAAAGGGTACTCAAATAAATGAAATTTGGCAAATGGTTGTGTTTCATTGTGTAGAATTTGGAAAATTAAAATACATATACTATACCATAGATACATGTTCAGGATTTCAATGGGCAACTGCTTTGAGTTCTGAAAAGGTTCACTCTATAATTGCATATGTATTAGACATCATGGCCATTATGGGAATAATTGTACAATTTAAGACTTACAATGCTTCTAGGTGGTGATATTTGGATATTTTTTGGCAATTTTATGCACATCTGATTTCCAAACAGCACATAACTGCTCTCATAATTGGGTAAAAATAATCATTAGTGGAGTGTTTCCTTTTGGTAATGAGTGTCGCCAAAGCAGAGGGTGGTATAACAGCTTACCTTAGCTCCCCATGGGAATCAGTAAACCTTTCAAGGGCTGTTTTCTTTTCTTCAAGTGGTGGGTTGCTCAATATGAATGGGAGCATGATAGATAGGTCAACACCACAAGTTGTGTGGTAATTTCTGTCCAGGAGCCTTGAGTCTGTCAAGTTTGGCCCGATGCTGCTCCTCCAACTCTGCAGAAATTACAAGGTTAATCACTGTACTCCTTAACAGAATGTCCTTCAGGTTCCTGTTCAATTATAATGGGTCAATCAAAATAAAGTAACACTCTTTTAAAGAGCATAGTGCTTGATTAAAAAAGAGACTTTATCACTGCAGCTTTATTTCCTTGAAATGATAGACAAATGCAACAGACAAAGGACCCCTTCATCTATGAAAAAAGCAGTCTTGCATTAGGAAGGGGAGTGATCAAGCCAGGTGGAAGAAGGGTATGCTATCTTAGGTAAAAAACATATAGGACTGTAGGCTGTGTGGCTTCACCAGTAGTCAGAGCTGTGTGTTCTGTCTTCCTCTCTCTCCATCTCAGCTCTAACAATGATGGCTGCTTTTTATTTCTGGTACACAGACACAGCCACCACTCTGCCTCACGAACCCACACTGTTTGATTCCATTCAAGTCACTATACAATTGTCACATCTTTAGAGAGACCTCTGAAAGATGGGCAGAGAAGCTTCTAATAGAAACCAAATACACTGTGGTGAGTTCAGGATGATGTGACAAAAGTACCACAGACTGGGGTGGCTTAAACAACAGTCTCAAAGGCTGGAAAGGCCAAGATGAAATTGCTGGCTTATGCTGTTTCTGTTGGAAGATACCTGGTTTTCAGAGAGATGCCACCTTGCTGTGTCATCATAGGAGGAGGAGAGAAATAGCCTATTCCCTTTCTTTCTTTATAACAGCACTGGTTTCATGACTGAGGCTCTATTTCATGTTTTCCTCCAAACCTAATTTTCTCTCCAAGGCTACACCCCCAAATAGCATTCCTTAAGGACCTCTCTCTATATAAATTATCTCCATGATAATATCCCTCAGTATGGTCACTCTCTGAACCCCTACCTGGCCTGAGTTTCCTTCACAGCACACTTAACTTTTTATCTTAAGTCTATGAACATATACCTTAGTTAACTTGTTTACTGTCCTCCACTGTTAACAGACACACAGTAAGGGAAGGAACTTTCATGTGTTTCCTGATTTTATATATATTTCCTGATATATATCCCAGAACCTACAACCCCATAGACAACTCTACAATGAATGAAGAGATGATGGACAAATTGCACACCTCCAGGCCCTATCACATATGAGGTGGGCTTTGTGGCAGCCTTCTTGACTCTGATCGAACTGAGATGCTCAGGTGAATGGATGGGAGATAATGCTGAATGATGTCATGTTTGACCCCTCTACCACCATCACAGTACATCAGCATGCCAAGCAGCAGTTTCCTGTCCTTTCTATTCTTCCTTCTGATGCTGTTTTATCATATCATGGTCATCATCATCATCAGCAGCAGCAGCAGCATTTTTTAATTGAAATAGAATTAACACCATTTCCTCCTTCCTTTCCTCCCTCCAACTTCTCCCAGCTCCCCTCCCTCAAAATTTTCCCATGCCCTCCATTCTTAATGTGATAATCCCTTTTTGTTTATTATTGTTATGTATGTGCATATATGTGTGCACAAATATATAAAAATACAATCTGCAGGATCTGTTGTTGTTGTTGTTGGTGTATATGTGGTTTCAAGGCTGTCCACTCTGCATTGGACAACAACCCCTGAGAGATGCTAATTCTTCTCCCATACATAATTATGCACCTGTAGTTCTTTGTTTAGAGGTGGGACTGGTGAACATCTCCCCCTTACACACTAACCTGTCTATTGATATTGCCATTGTTATGGTCTTGTTTCTGTAGCCATTTCTAGGAGAAGCTGTTTCTCAGAGGACTTCCTAGTGTTCTGAATATCACAGCCAACTCCACTGGACAAAAAGCTCAACAGATCAAGAAGAGCCCAGTCACAACAGATCCATCTACATCACAGCTCCTGCATCTATGGCTCAAGGAACATCTTGGAAGAGGGCCTGGAAAGATTGTAAAAGGTGAAATGCCAGGAATTTTTTGTTGATTAATTATTCTCTGGTTTGTCTCTTTCATATTCTGCTCTGGGGGAAGTTTCTTAGTCCCTCTCTGGGTATCTTCATCAAGACACAAACATGCTCTCTCTCTCTGTAGAACTTGCCAACAAAATGCAGAGCCTTTGAGTGGAGTCCACAAGCTGTGATGTGGTGAGAAGGCCACACACAATGGTGTATTCCTTGCTATGAAAACTTCTTTAAGACTTTATTTACCCCCAGTTCATCACAGATCGTCAAGAAAACTATTTTCCCTCCTGAAAATACAGAGTAGGCTATCGCTTGAATCTTGATTTTTTTTTTTTTGAGACAGGGTTTCTCTGTGTAGTTTTGGAGCCTGTCCTGGAACTCACTTAGTAGACCAGGCTGGCCTCGAACTCACAGAGATCCGCCTGCCTTTGCCTCCCAAGTGCTGGGATTAAAGGCATGCACCACCACCGTACAGTCCTAATTGCTTTTAATAATAAAAACCTGGAGCCAAATATCAGAGTAAATGCTGAAAGATCAGAGAGACAAAGGAGCAAGCCACAGCTACCTCTTACCTCTATGCCTTCTCAGACCAAATGGGCCCTAGCTCCTGTCTCCTCCCACCTTCTATTCCTCTCTGCCCAGTCATTTCACTTCCTGTCTTCATCTCCCTAGTGCTGGGATTAAAGGTGTGTGCCACCAATGCCTAGCCTCTATGGTTAACTAGTGGCTAGCTCTGCCCTCTGATCTTCAGGCAAGCAAGAGAACAAACAAAATATCACCACAGTTGGCCCTCTTGCACTAAAACTTTCTGCTCATAGGAATATTTTGTCTTTATTTTGGCTTTTTATCTCAAAAAATAAAATGCTACCCGAAAATGCTGTACTGAAGAAGAGTTAGCCTGGAGGTAGAAGTCTGAGCCATAGTGTCTTGACTCAACACTTCTAATAGGCATATGACCCCTAAGTAAATCACTTAATCATTTATGGATATATGTGTCTTGGGCTTTCACATTGAAGAACATCTACCTTCAGGGCTCACTATTACTATCTAAGGAGATAACACCAATGAATATAATTTTAAAGAATAAAATGCTACATAAATGTCAGATCACTGTACATGGCGCCTGTGGCATGGGGCCTGCCATCCCACTCTTGCTCCTTCCTTTGCTTCTGTTCCCAACTACTGAAGTCCATTGGAAACTGATAGAGGACAACATGATGCTTACAGATGGGGTTGCCAAGAATCACAATCTGAGGTCCCTGCTGACAACAGCAGCCACCCCAGGCCTCTAGTAGCTTGTCTGGCAAATAGCCAAAGAAAGAGGACAGGACATTTTTAACCATTAAGAAATACAAGCCATTCTAAAGAGTTTACCCAGTTGACAGCCAGCAGGGAAAACTCCTACGGGAAGCCCCCACACACCAGAACCCCCCCCCCCCCATCAGACCCTGCAATCAATAACTTCCGTGCCCTACTTCGATACCCATCCACCTGTGACCACAGTAGCTTCCTGAGACATGGAAACTGAACCACCAACTCTCATTGGACCAAGAGTAACTTCCTGAGACACAGAATCTGCCAGCTCTGACTGGACCAAGAGCCCTGATAATACCAAGAGTGGCTCCGTGAGTCACAGAATCAGCTAGCTTGGATTGGGCCAAGAACAGCTCCTGGAGATACAGAATCTGCCGCCAGCTCCAATTAGATCAAGAGCTAAGATTGGTCCCAGAAGGGCCCCCTGAGACACAGACACAGCAAGCACAAATTGGACCAATAGCAGCTCACTCAGACACAGGCACCTCTTGCACCTATTGGAGGAAGAGGTGGGTAAACACCAGTGCAAAAATACATACAACAACATAAAAAGCAATATGGTATCACCAGAACCTAGCCCTTCTACAACAGCAAGTCCTGAACATCACAATGTAGAGCAGAAGAAAACAACCTTAAAAATAACTTTATGAAGAAACTAGAGGCCTTTAAAGAGCAAATGAAAAATTCCCTTAAAAACTGAGGGAAAGACAAACAAAAAATGGGAAGAAATCAACAAATCCCTTAAAGAAAGCCAAGAAAACCATGAAAAAGCAATTAAACATTGTGAAGGAAACAGTCCAAGACCTGAAAAGTGAAATAGAAACAATGAAGAAGACATAAACAGAGGGAATGCTGGAAATAGAAAATCTGAGTAAATGAACAGGAAACACAGATGCAAGCATAACCCACAGAACACAAGAGATAGAAGAGAATCTCTGGTGTAGAGGATACAACAGAGGAAATAGATTCGTCAGTCAAAGAAAATACCAAAGCCAAAAAGTCATAACATAAAGTATCCAGGAAATCTGGGATACCATGAAAAGGCCAAACCTAAGAATAATAGGGATAGAAAAAGGAGAATACCAACTCAAAGGCACATAAAATATATTCAACAAAATCATAGAATAAAACTTTCCCAGCGTAAAGAAGGAAATACCTATGAAGATACAAGAAGTCTATAGAACACCAAACAGACTAGATGCCCCCCGCAAAAGTCACCTTGCCACATAATAATTAAACCACTAAACCTACAGAATAAAGAAAGAATATTAAGAGCAGCAAAGGAAAAAGGCCATGTGACTGATAAAGGCAGAACCATCAGAATAACACCTGACTTCTCAATGGAGACTTTGAAAGCCAGAAGGTCCTGGACAGATGTAGACACCGAGAGACCATGGATGCCAGCCTAGACTAATATACCCAGCAAAACTTTCAATCACCATAGATGGAGTGAACAAGACATTCCAAGACAAAACCAGATTTAAACAATACATATCCACAAATCCAGCCCTACAGAAAGCACTAAAAGGAAAATTCCAACCTAAGGAAGTCAGATACACTCACAGAAACACAGGCAACAGATAATCCCACAGCAGTAAATCCCAAAGAAGAGAAATACATACACACTACCACCAAAAGATAACAGGAATTAGCAATCACTGGTAATTAATATCCCTTAATATCAATGGACTTAATTCACCTATAAAAAAGACACAGGCTAACAGAATGGATACAAAAGAAGGACCCATCTTTCTGCTCATACA